ACTGGAGCGGGTCCAGATAGACTGTTTCCTCCAGGTGTCGAGGGAACTGCTGCGCAACCACACTCTCAACAACCTTCGCCACAAAGCGAAGGTTGGAGACCGGGCGATAGTTAGCCAATACATCTGGGTCCAGGGAGGGCTTCTTAAGGAGGGGCCTCACCACCGCCTCCTTTAAGGCTGCGGGGAAGGCACCCTCCCACAAAGAAGCGTTCACAATTCCCTGGAGCCAGGCTCGTGTACCCTCCCGAGCTGCCAGTACTAGCCAGGAGGGGCACGGATCCAGCAAACATGTGGTTGCATTCAGCCTCCCCAGGATCCTGTCCACGTCCTCGGGAGCCACAGAGTCAAACTCCTCCCATACAAAAGTCTCAAGACCTGCTCCCGTCTCCTCCCCCGGGGCCACCCAGTCGGAGTCAAGGCCTTCTCGGATCCGAGCGACTTTGTCATGCAGATATTGCGCAAAGTCCTCGGCCTTCCCCTCCAGGGGATCCCCTCCCTCCCTCAATTGGAGGAGAGAGCGGGTCACCCTGAAGAGGGCGGCCGGGCGTTTATCTGATGACGCGATGAGTGTGGAATAGTAATTAGATCTAGCCACCCTCATCGCCACTAGGTAGGATCTAACATGCATTCTTACCTGTGCTCGGTCGGATTCGGTTCGGCTAGCTCTCCAACTGCTCTCTAGGCGTCTTTTCCGGCGTTTCATCTCTCTCAGCTCCTCCGTAAACCAAGGGGCCAGTTGAGATCTGCGCCGGGTCAGAGGGTCACATAGCCGTGTATTTCATTTTTTATTGGAAGAGTGAATAAATGACTTTGCAGATTACAGACACATAAAACATGTTAAAATAATTAGCAAAAATACACTATAATAGTTAGAAAATAACTGTTCATTCCGTCTGGTTGACAGCTTTCTTCCTGTTTTGCCCACATAGTTTTTTTTTTCAGCCAATAATGCAGCAACTGTGAAAATAGGCCAAACAGGAAGAAAGCTATCAACCAGATTGAATGAACACTTCCTGGCCATCAAAAGACATGGCCCACTTTCCCTCACTTTCCCACAAAGACTCAGAAGGACACAAATTTGATTTAACTGGGACCACAGTTGTAATCCATGTGAAATCAAGGAGAGAAAGAGAATTTCTCAAAGCCTGGTTTTCCACTAAAAAGTTAATAAATAGATACATTGACATCAACCCAGACCGTATTACACACCCGGATAAACAACATCCACACCAATTTGCATCACACAAGAAGGTATTTATAGGCTGGTGCTCTGACAGATGAGCACAATTCAAAGTGCACTGAAGATGTCCCCCCGAATGGAGATGAAATGTTTTCAGCCAAATTGCCAAGCTTGGAGATCAAACCAATAGTCCAGTCACTGAAATGTTACACAATAACAGCAGTAATAGATACATAATTATAGATTGTCCTTGGCTTACAACCACAATTGAAACCAGAATACTTCTTCGAAAAAGGCAGTTATTAAGTGAGTCAATTTTACAACCATTTTTGCCAATGTGGTAGAACAACTCACCACACTTAAGTGAATCACTCAGCCATTAAGCTAAGGTCACAAATGGTAAACTGGGATGCTCTTGGATGCTATAACAATTATACAGACATGTGAGTTACCAAGTACCTAAAATTTGATCACATGACTGTGGAGATGCTGTAATGGTTGAAAGTGTGAGGATCAGTTGTAAGTCATTTTTTTTCACTGTAGTAATTTTAAATGGTCACTAAAAATGGTTGCAAATCAAGGACTACCTGTATCTTCTTTTAGAAAAGGGAACAGAAAGGAAGAAGAAGAAAATTGAAACATTGCATGGAACATAAAATGGACAAGGTGTTTTGGGATCTGCCAATAGGAGATTTACATCCACTGATATGGAATATGCAAATGTTCCTCTTTAAAATAAACGTATCTTCTACATCTACTCATAACAACAAACTCAAAACCATCTGTTTCATGGTGCAAAGCTCTTGTCATTCATGTCATATGCCGTGCCTGTGGAAACCATTAAAAACTAATGGTTTTCAAAGGTTTCCCATGATGTTATCCCTAGTCAGGTAATGAAAAGGCTGCAACCAAATAACCTATTTCAGAGAGCACCAAGGGCTAAATATTCAAAACTAAATCGCTCTTCAGTCAGTTGTCCCAAAGGTGCTTTTTCAAAAGGGAACTGGACTTTGGTTTTTTCCTTGAAGGTGTTTCACTTCTCATCCAAGAAGCTTCTTTAGTTCTGACTGTCAGAACTGAAGAAGCTTCTTGGATGAGAAGCAACATGTCTTCAAGGAAATAATAAAGTCCAAATTGCCTTTTGAAAAATCACCTTTGGGATAACCATGACATGGATGACTGAGAATCTCTGTAGACATTCTTCAGTCAGTTGTTTTATTAATTTCAATTTAACAGACATGATGGTGCAGTGGTTAGAATGCAATATTGCAGGCTGACTCTGCCCACTGCCAGGAGTTTGATCCTAACTTGCTTAAACTAGTTTCAGCCTTCTATTATTCGACGGCCAGTAAAATGAGGATCCAGATTGTTGGGGGCAATATGTTGATTTTGTAAAATGCTTAGACAGGGCTGTAAAGCACTATGAAGTGCTAAAGCTATTGCTATATTCTTCATGTTCTTGTTCTACCAACTCTCTACAGGTTAACCATTTTTCTTTATATGCTATTTCTTCTGGTATAAAATGGTTCTTGGGCTGTGACCGATAAGGGCATTTACAGTAGCGCAAAATAAATTTTAAATGAGGCAAACCCAATCCTCTTCATTTATTTGCATGTTGGAGGACTCTATATTTTAGCAATTTGCATTATGAGTCTCAGATATATATCTTTCTGCATTACTTAAATGGCATGTGGGTAGTCAAAATATATATCATTTGGAAAAAAAAGATTATTCTAGACAATGCATTCATATCTTGTTTTTCCACGAGTAACAGTAATGCGATCCTCGGTGATGTATCTAAATTTACCTTCAAAAGTTTTCTAATTTCCCTAAACACCATGTCCCATATCTTTTGTGCGCTATCACAATCCCACCACATATGTTTATATGTTCCAATCTCTTTCTTGCAGCTCCAGCAAATATTTGTATATTTAACATCTATTTGATTTAATTTGCGTGGTGTTAGGTACCACCTCCATATCACTTTATATCCATTTTCCTTAACTCTGACATATTCTTATATACTCTTCTGTTCCAAATATTTTTCCATTCTTTATCGTTTATTTCTCATAAATTTGTTTCCCAGATTAATTTTAAACCTTTAGCCTGATCTTCTAGTTCAGTTAATATTCTATATATTTTCCCAATTCTTCCTTTACCGATATATTCTTCCTTTCCCTCCCTTTCTTTTATAATCATTTCAAATTTTGTTAACTGTCTATCTTTCTCCTCAAATTTTTCTTCCATTTTTATCCATTTCTCCAATTATATTAGGTTCAACCAATTTAACTTAGTATCTGATAAAACATTCTTTAGTTGTATTATATTCTTTATCTTGTTCTTCCAGTCTTCCCATTTATATATCTGATTTTTTTTTTAATTTACTAATCCAATCTTTCAGCTGAATCTTAGGGAATTTCTCCATTTCTACTACTGGTATTAAAGGAAAAATTCCTGGCATTAACCGGTATCTGCATTTATCCCATAATTCTATCAGTTTTTTAAAAAAGGGATTTTGAATTCTCTTAACAATTTTTAATATCTTTTTTAAACCAATATGTTTCTATAGGATCACCTATTTTCCCTAATTCCTTCAATTCTAATATCGCTCCATAATAAATCTCTATCTGGGACCATCCTTAATTGATTAGCTACCCAATAATTTCTAACATTTGGAAGACCCAGCCCATCCTTTTTTAATGGTTCATACCATAAAGCTTTACTTATTCTTGCTCTCTTATCTCCATTAGAATACACCTCCAGCAATCTCTGTATTTCCTTTAATTCTTGATCTGAAAACTTAATTGGGATCATCCAAAACAAAAAGTTAATTTTTGGTAAAACATTCATTTTTATTGCTTCAATTCTTCCACACCATGATAATTTTACTTTTCCATATTTATCCATTTTAACTTTTATATCTTTCTTTAACTTCTCATAATTTATCTTTTTAATTCTTGAATATTTTTTGGGATGTCAATACCTAAATATTTGATACTATCTACTATTTTTAATTTATATTTTTCTTTCAATACATCCATTTCTTCTTTACGATAGTTATATAATATCATTTCTGATTTTTCCCAATTTATTTGCAATCCACTATATTTCCCAAATTCATTCAAATGTGAATATGCCCTCTCTATAGTAGCTATGGGATTTTGAAATGTTAGTAATGTATTATCTGCAAATAAATTTATTTTCATTTTCTTACATATGCCAATTCCTTCAATCAATTCTGCATTGTTTAAATGACACATCGGTAGTCAAAATATATATTGTTTGAAACAAAAACATTCTCCTAGGCAATAACTTCATTTTTTCTTGTACCAGATATTTTTCCCTACACTGAAAAATGTAATTCTTCCCATCTTAGCATGTTTTTCTTAATTTCATTCCATATCTTACATGTTCTGAAATAACATACAATTCATATTTGACATAGTAATAGGTAAATATTTTACTTTTTTCTCAACATTAAAACCAGAATTTTGCAAGTAGTTTAATATGGTATTCTATTTTCATATTTTTGTTAACATTATTATTATATGACTGTTAACTATAAAACTGACTGTGACAAAAGGTTTTAGTCTTCCATTAATATTTCTGTTCCTTATAAAAGATCTTCAAAACTAGAATCAAATCATCATAAAAGACCCATAATCTACTATTTATCTTTTAACCCTCACTTCAGCAATTCACTCATTTCAATATTTTCAAAGTTAACATAATTAATAGTGAGAAAAGCAATATTATTGACTTTTTCCTTTCTTTATCTCACAATGTTTTGTTAATCTTCCATTTCCAATTATCTTTGGCCTTTGTGTGCTATCAATTATCCATTTAATAACATTCTCACCAAAGTCCATTTTCCCAAACATCTTCCACTTATTTTCAAAACAGGTTAAACTTCAGTCGCTTATTAGGACATCCAAAAGAAAGATGTTAATCAGATATACAAAGACAATTGGCAGGCTGCCAATATTCCAAAGGTAATTATGACACTTATGAATTACTGAAATCACTCTATTATTTTAGCAGGTGAAAATATCAAACCTTCTGTGCAGAAGGGAATAGGAATTGAGAAACAATTCATATAAATATTACTAGAGCCACGTGGAGGTAGCAAAGGGTAATGATGACTTTATGAGATTCATTTCCACAAGTTATTTCCCTCCTGTATTATCTGCCAGAACTTATCTTTGAACGATAGACCCAGAGATCCAAACCAATAGAATAAAGATGTTATTCCTTCTGATTGTCTTGGTACACAAAGTAGTTACTCTGAGATGCCCTGCAAGTGATGCTTTCCCTGTTCCACATGAGTGGTTCCAGCCTGGAGATCTTGTCATTGGTGGGATGGTGTCTCAAATTTTTTACCACTTTTATGAAATTGAATTTAAGGACCATCCTTCTCTAAAACCCTATGACTTACCACTGTAAGGATTTTTTTCATACATTTTCTACTCTTAGCCATATTGCCAGCAATTGTTTATATGAATAAAAATAGTTGAGCATAAATGTCAGTTTTGCATGTCATCAAAGCCTGTTTTGACTTTTGAACATATCTGGTTGTTGGAAAAGAAATCATTTTCTTTTCATTAAGTTGAGTTCTTTCTCATAAAATATATGATTCTTCTTTTTCCATTCATAAAAGATATGTTCTTCAAAAGAAGTAAGACTTCTTTTAAGTCAGGTTATTTATTATTCTGCATTTCGCTCTGTACAAAACTTACACACAAGAAATCAATGATATTTGCTTATTCTGTTTATATTGTATTTTGTGCTACATTAATAGAATGTATCTTGAAAAGGCAACTATTTTTGTCATAATACGTATTAGTTGCAAATCATGGAAATACAGTACATGGAAACATTCTGTAGAAATTGTTCCAATATTTTAGTATTTCATAATTCTCATCTTCCTACTTCCATCAGAGACAGAAATGTTAATTATTCATTTAGAAATGATGCCAAGTTATAATAGCTTTAAAATTACTTCTTCAATGGGGATATTTAACTTTTTGGCAGTGTAGTCACCAAATTCTACCAGCACGTCCTTGCCTTGGCCTTTGCTGTGAAGGAGATCAATGAAAATCCACAGATGTTATCTAACATCACTCTCGGGTTCCACATCTATGACAGTTACTACAGACCAAGGATGACCTACCGCACCACTCTTGACCTGCTTTTTAAATCTCAGGAATTTGTCCCTAATTACAAATGTGATAGCCAGAAGAATCTCATGGCCATCATTGGAGCACTTGTGTCTGATACTTCTTCCTATATGGCAGAAACAATAAAAGTCTTCAAGATTCCACAGGTAATTTGGGCAGGAGAGTAAGAGAGAAAATTGCCTTCTTTTGTAGTAAATATTAGAATTCATTTCTGGAATTCATTCAGTTTCCCTTCATTGCCATGAAAAATGACTCTCCCTTTTTTCTATGTAGTTGACCTATGGTTCCTTTGCCCAAGAAGAGGTCCAGGATAGTAAAATATCTTCACTTTACTGCATGGTCCCCAAAGAGGAACATCAATACAGTGGTGTTATACAGCTTCTGCTCCATTTTGGATGGAGGTGGATTGGAGTCTTTACCTTTGATAAAAATAAAGGAGAACATTTTTTGCAGAAACTGCATCCTTTGCTTTCTCAAAACGGGATCTGCTTGTCTTTCACACAAAGAGTTCCACAACGAGCCCAGTTAGAAGAAATTTCAGAATTTTTTGATGTAATCTCAACTATTTTTTATCAACTGATAGATCAGAAGGTCAATGTTCTTCTTGTCTATGGTGAATCATTTACAATTCTGTGGCTCAGAAGTGTTGTGTTTCTACGTGATTATGAAAATAAAGAGAGTGCATCATTTAGAAAGGTTTGGATCCTGATGTATCCAATTGATTTCATACTGACAGGACTTCAAAGGGCTTGGGATGTCCAGTTGTTCCATGGATCTCTTTCCTTTACAGTGCATTCAAGAGAAGTTCAAGGCTTCAAAGAATTTATTCAAGTCATCAAACCTTCAACCCACAAAGATGGATTTCTTCAAGAGGTTTGGGAGCAATTGTTCGACTGTTCACTTTCAAATGAAGAATTACCCTCAATGCCCAATGAAACTTGCAGTGGTGAAGAGAATGTGGAGACTCTGCCTGCTCCTCTGTTTGAGTTGCAGATGACTGCCCAAAGCTACAGTATCTACAATGCTGTTTATGCAGTAGCACATTCATTGCATGAGGCAGTGAGATCAAACTCCCAACACAGAAGAATTAAAATCTTTGAATTTTCAAATCTGCGGCCTTGGCAGGTAATGTCTCCTTGGGACACCTATCTTTTGTTTCAATGAGTAGTTCTTCTCCTCCATACTCTAATATGTATTTTTTCCCACAGATCAATGCAGTTATTGAAAACCAAAGTTATTAACGTAACAGCTGATTATATGCTATAGAACAAAGGAGGATGAAAAAAACCATGTCTTTGCAAATTTAAATCTATTCAACTATTTTTGATTCCATAAATAACCATTTTATTTCTATCTAGATTTGTCCTGTCTTGTAGATTTATTCAGCCTGGTTATAAAAAGAATTAAGTGACAATGCATCTGAAGGCAGTCTTTTTTTCCTGTTTAATATACTGTTCTAAAATGTAAACATTTCACTTCACTAGATTTTTGTAATTTAGTAAAGATTTGGTTGTTAGACAGGGGAATTAGTTTTATGACAGTCGTTCTTTGCTGATATAGCCAAATTATTTTTGTGAAGATATGTTGATTTTGAGACTTATGGTAAACCACCAAGAGAGTGGCAGGGTTTGGTGCTTTAAGGTTTGTGTCATTGTTTTTTATTTTAAATTTTTTATTATTTTTCATTTAAAAAACACAAACATAAATCTTTTATCACAATATCAACCAAAGAGAATAAAGCGAAACAAAACATTCACAGACGTGTCCGGTGTACCCCTCCCGCACCACCCTCTGCCACTTACCACTCCTTCCTCCTCTCATTCTACCACCACTCCTCCTCCCTCCCTCTTTCCTACTTCTCTTTCACCCTCAACCATCCCGTCCTGTGCAGTTGGGGTATCACCGGACACCTCCTTAAAAACATCCTACATATAAATCTATAATACAAACCTACCCTTTTCCCCCTCCCCCCCCAGGACTTCCCAAAGCTAATCTAGGAAATAAACACAAAATAATCCAAATCTATTCACAATTACTCCATATTACTACACACTAGTATAAACTTGCTATGACTCTAAAATAACATTAAAATACATACAATTTTTTTTTAAAAAAAAATCTTTTGTTAATCAAAAGCTACGTAATAATTTTTCAATTCATACTTTCTCTGAATATAATCTATCCATCTTCTCCACATTGAGATGAATTTTTCCTGAGAATGATCCTTCAGGTACGCGGATATTTTTGCCATCTCTGCAAAATGTGATACTTTCTGTCTCCAATCATCCATAGTTGGTAATATCTTTTTCTTCCAATTTTGAGCAACTAATGTCCTTGCTGCTGTTATACAATACAACATCAGTTTCGTTTCTTTTTGATCCAAATTATC